TGCCCACGAGATCCAGGAAGCCCGGCAAATGATCGCTATATTCTGGGGACTCATATTTTCTGGTTTTGGTCAGGCCACAGAGGTCAAAAAGACATGCTAAATGAACTTCTGCTACATGTTTTTGATTGTGATTAAGTTGTTGTCTCATGTCATTTACACGCCAAGTCTCCAATTCCTTCCATGTGATCACGTCCACTGACTATATATGACTATGTATCCAGCAAATCAATCAATCAAATTGTGTTCCTTTTCCGAATAAATAGAGCTTTATAAATACATCTTTAACAGTTATGTAACAAAGAATCCCACATGCCCATGACCCGTCAACCCAACCACCCAACAGACCCCCTCTAAACCATTCAATATATTAGGATTGTTTTTTTTTTTTCTGTGGGTTGCCAGATAGGGGCACATACATTCAAAGATGCTTACACTTCAGACCCAATTATCTAAATAAAAGCAAGAATGAATCTTTTTTTTTTTGCAGGTTGTGATTTACACCTTGTATACATTGGATTGGAATACAAATTTAGTGGTTTCACGCTCTCTTTTATCCTTTAACCCTTTAAGCGCCAGAGGTTTTTTTCCAAAACGCTCAATTTTGACATCTTAATTTCAAAAGGCTATAACTTAAAAGTGATAAGAGATAAAGGCTTTCTGTAAATTAGAAAAATATAAAGGATGGTCCAAAGTTTATGTAGAGAATAAATCCCCCCATCTAATTTGCATATTATGACGTCATTTGGCGTTAGAAATAGTGAATTTTAGATTTTTCATACAATATTTGTATTTTTCTAACTGACAGACATATATTTATCACTAGAACATGAACACACACAGAGCACACACTGTAACATTGTAAATGTTCATGAAAATAGTAAAAAAATATAAATCATGGTGCTGCTGTGAGCAGTCTGCCCAGACGCGCGCCTCCACGTGATGCGCGTCACCGCGACCCTGTTGCTGCTGCTGTCTCCCCTGCTCTCTCTCTCATCTCCCCTGCTCTCTCTCGTCTAACACACACAAGACAAGGCTTCTACAACACATTACTGTCCCGGTGATTACAGGAGGCAGGAAAATAAATATGTGAGAAGCACTTTTAGCGGAGACTTTGGCGGAAACTTAAATATTTTAATCGTTGGACAGCACTAGTTAAAATACATCTTTTTTTGTGTCCTCAAAGAATAGGTCACCAAGTACAAATCATATCTGGCCTTTTCTGAACAAAAGTTTAAAGTGGAGTTACTCTTAATTAAAGTAATCAGTGCTTAGAACACAGGAAGTAAGATTCCGGGAACAAAGGTTCAATTGCAATTAAATGAGTTTATTAGACTGTTATGTTTTTTGTCTGAAAATGCAAGATATTCCGTTTTCCTTTGTGATGTGGTGTTGCCAATTTCAAGATTCAGACACATGGCACTTGCTGGTCAGTGGCCCTAAAATTGTATCGCAACTTGTTTTCCTGACACTCAAAGTGGCTCTAAGAGGAACAGGAGGACGGAAGGAGGAGCTAGATGACTTGTTTCGAATAGTTTTAGCGCAATGTAAACGTTTAATATAAGCCATGTTTAATACAGAGCCTCAGGAGGCATGGAGAGAATCAGGCCATGTCCCCTTCAACCAATGTCCAATAAGGTGAACTTTGAACAGACTGTTAAACAAATTATTAGAATTATTGAGTCTAACACAGGAGTGACCTGCCAGACTGCTTCAATTGGACCGCTAAACAGTTCCCTACTCAGTTGCATTTCCACCTGTATTTCCGTCTGTAGTTGATTGGATATGTGCTAAGTGAATATAAAAGTAAGGTGTCCAGTACTTTAGTGATGTATGGGGATACACGCCTCACTCATGCCTCACATCAACTTGCAAACTAAAACGCTTTTGAATGTGAACTCTCTAATTCCAACAATTGTGTGCAAGGATTTATGCTGTCTATTTTTTTCAGCCTGTGAAATGTTTAGCAATTTTAGATGTTTTATCAATTTGAGTGCATTCCCCATGAGCCATTGCGCTTGCGGCATCAAGTCTGCTGCATTAACCTGAACAAAATGGGGTGTCATCAGCAGTGACAACCGACAAGAGGCGTTTTAAATCTGCGTAGTAGTAGTAGATTTATGTGTTTAATGTAGTTTTGTTGTTGACATTTGCACAGTTACAATTTTGTGGCTGCAAACTAAGGCTGTGTTGTTGTATTTTCCATTAATCTTGTGATTTGCTCTGTTAGACAATAATCAATGCATTCATAAAGGAACTTTATAAAATTTACATTTCTTTGTGTTTCATGAGTAATACTGGTGTATTTGGCCCTTGGAAGCAAAACGTTTGGGCACCTCTGGTCTAGCTCAACACCTCCCCAATATTTCTCATTTTTTTCCCACCTCCTGCAACGTTCCTTGTTGATGGAAGAGGGTCCAATGACAGTGATGATCTAGGACATTTATTGACTCTATCAATTCTATTCAAACATGGAGGAGCGCTTTCCCAGCCAAGGAAAGAGAGAGATCTTCATGTTCACCTAATATCTATAGCAGAAAACATTGACATGATACAGGACATTATCATAAGCGTTTGTCAGCAAATACATCTCTGGCTTTTCTATTACTATTCTGTTCTGTCCTAAATCAGGCTATTAATGACAAAAACATTGTTCTTGAGCTCCGGAACAGCGTCGACCTTGTCACTTTCACTTATGGCACTAGTGTAGTTTCAACAAGCGAGACCAGCGCAGTCTTCGCTCTGAACTCACTCAGGGGATTCAATCATGGACGCGATCAGATTTGTCACCTGGAGACCCGAGTAATCCGGTGACACGTCGGTGGCGATCAAGAGCCGCAGAGGGAAAACAAGAGGAGCATGAATATATGTGTGTGCTTATCTGTCATCACGGTTAAGAGAGAGAGGGGAGAGAGGCTGTTTTATTTTCTTCCTTGGATAAGGCTCAGGGTCTGTCGGCAAAAGTGTCTGATGAAATTAAAGGTTGAACGGTCAACCTCTGCACGTTTCACCTCAGAGAAAACGGCATCTGATGCGGTGCGGCTTGAAATAACACGGCAGCCACAGGTCAGGTTGGATTATCTCGTCTGGGCGGTGCGCTCTGTGGCAGAATGATGTTATGGTAAGAGGGCGCATCGTTGTTAAAGTCTGCTGTGTTTGTGCGTCTTAACAGCAGTGTTGTGCGTGTCCTATAGGTTTCCCCTACCACAAAAACATGCACAATCGGTATGAATTGAATGAATGAGTGAATGGATGGTGTTGGTTGGGGCTTTGATGCGGCAGTGTGTTCTGTGACTCGCTTCTTACATCACTGTGTGTGGAGAGAATGGAACAATATCTGAACTCTGAACGATTGTAAAGCGCTTTGGGTGACCTTGGTCTGTAAATCGTGCTTTATAAATAAAACCTTCCTTACTTACTATATTAGTACAGTTGTGTGTGTGTCTTATATAACTACAGCAGTTTTCTGTGTCTTATATATTTGTACAGCCGCGTTTTGTGTTTAGGCATTGTCATTTGCCATGTATCATTAATCATCTTTCCAAAACTGTTCTTTTTGAAAAAAAAAAAAAAGTTCTTTTTTTTTATTTATAGATCACACGCATCCAAACACATACAAGGTTCAAGACAACAAATAAATCAGATTTTTTTAATGTTGACCGAGCCGTGCACAAGCTAGCACTCTCAGAACAACATTCATTTTGACGGCTTCCATTCAAATCAATGGAATTCTGAAATACACAAGGCAACGGAAAGTGCTTAACAAAGAAGAGAAAACATAAATAATCACAGCACATTAAAAATAGTGAAGATGCAATCCATCATTTGCTTGCACAACCAAACAGAACTTTTTTAACCTGGATTTGAACATTGTCAGTAGAAGCCTGTCTCACATTTCCAGGAGGAGATTTTCGCATGAATCTAGAAAAGGAAAAAAAAACATGAAAAACACGGCTTAGCCAAAAAATCACGTACTGTAAGTAAGTAAGTAAGTTTTTATTTATATACCGCCTTTACACTGCAGAGCTGAGTCTCAAAGCGGTTTACAATTGTTAATATTGGGCATTTGTATCTCACTCCACACAGAGATGGGAGCGGTCGCCAGTACAGGAAGCGCATGCCAGAACTATTGGACATATTTTTAGTGGTAGGGGAAACCGGAGTACCCGGAGGAAACCTACGCAGACACGGGGAGAACATGCAAACTCCACTCAGAAAGGCCCTGGTCCGACCGGGATTCGAACCCAGGACCTTCTTGCTGAGAGGCGAGAGTGCTATCCACTCAGCCACCGTGCCGCCCATTCACTGTACTTCTGAACTACTGTACATCTGAAAAAAGAAACACAGCTGCATGAAAGTACAGTGCGAGAGAGTTTTTTTCTATTTCCATATTTGGCTCAGCCGTGTGCACCTGTCCCTATTTTAAAGCTTCATAAATTTGAAACGCTCTCTCCCCATGCTCAGTGCTGACTTTGAACATCAGCAGGAGGCCAGTCCCTGTGCTCCTCAGAGCCCGAGCAGGAACCCAGTCCCTGTGCTCCTTAGACTTCATGCGAGGCCATGAAGCGACTTGTACTTGGATCACCAGTATATAGCAGCAGAACCTTGTCACATCTACTTTAACTCGTGCTTCTGCCAGATGACAGATGAGGAAATATACGCAAACGTGAATGCAAACTTGTATCAAAGCCTTAATGCCAGGGTCATCTGCAGCCTTCCACAGTGACTCCCCACGCACGCGTCTGTCACGTCAGCTGCCGCAACCTCATCTCAGCCACACATTATGAAGATCAAGCGTCTGCGCTGAGCAAATGCCACAGTGTAGCGGGGGACTGGAATATCGGGCATTTCAAATCAGCCAGAACGCAAATCCATCTGCCGATCCGGAAGGGTCAAATACCACGCCCGTGTCATCTGAAACTACTTTTTTTTTTTTTCACAGACGTCTTTTGAAATGACATAGTGTGCAAATATAAGTGCTGTGAAACAGTCTATACGGTGTTCTACCTGAATGGTGATGAGGTGAGCTCCTCCCCCTCGGCCTCTTCACGCTCCCTGGGCTCATCAGATCGTCCAGGAACTCTCCCCGAGGGAACATATCCAACAGCGTGACCTATCTTTGCCATATTGTAGGGGATATTTCTGGATATGTCCTATTAATTGACTTTGTAAGAAGTTATCATTCTGTGCCAAGAAATAGAAGCTTCTATCTGGGCAGGTAAAACTCTGAAAATTAGAATAATGTCAATAGTCGACTTCATTTTGTAGTTCAACTTTGTGAAGGCAAGTTTATTTGAATAGCACAGTTCATGCACAAGACAACTCAAAGTGCATAGAAACCATAAAAGGCATTAAAATCCCAAATTGTCACAGTACATCAAAAATCTATATTCACAGCTAAACAGAAATGATTTCATTCTGGATATGAACATTGAATTGAAGCCTGTCTCACATTTTCTGGAAGACAGTTCCACATGTTAGCTGCATAAATGTAATTGACTGGAGAAGGAGGAGGATTCGCACATCAATACCTACAGATCGGGTGCGTTGGAGAAGAGGCCTGTATAGCCTATTCACTTTGGAGAGACCCAAGAGGGAAAATGCAGTTAGAAGTTTGTTGATTGAGTATGTTTGGCGCCCTAGGCCCGGGAGAGATGCTGTTGAGTGCGGCGCTTGCTCGCGCGCATAATCCCCCCCGGGGCCTAGGCACTGGTGACGGCAGAGGCAGTAAGCAAGCACGCTTCGATGAGAGAAGGAGGAGGTGGGGCGGCGGAGGCTTTGCAACCTTCAGAAGGCCGGGAAGTGGGCGTCTCCGGCTTTTAACTTGCTGTCCTGGTGGTTAACTTGCTGTCCCGGTGGTTCCACCTCCTTCAATCCTCCGGATTATCTGTTTTTATTTCTGGTCCAATCCCGACTGTAAACAGAGGTGACTGCCTCTACAGTCGTGTTGTGGCGCTGCATATGTGGATCCAGGCTACATGCAGCTCTTTTAACTTTGTCTTTGTGAATAACTTTGCCCTTTTCTGGAAACGTTACGAAGCCTATCGTCCAGACGGATTACACCCAAACAGATACGGTAGCAGCCTGTTGATGGACTACATGCGTCATGTTGTTCAGCGTTCCCCGAGGGGGGCGTGACTGTTTACATCTGAGCCCCCTCGGACCCCACCGCACTCCCCCGCCTCCTGCTCATCAGCACCGGGTGAGTACAACGGTGCAAACACTGCTCCCTGTCCGTCTGGCAGTGCATTACCAGTCCAAACACTGAACTGTGCTGACTCCCTTCTGACTCTGGGAGCTAAAGAACAACAACAAGGGTTTTCACATTTTAGGCCAATTGAGACTGTGTGTGTTCCTCGCACCAGCTCAAAAATGTTTTTAAATTCTAAAAAACGAAATCAAAACAGGACAGCAGTTAGACGGTCCAACTCTGCAAATCTAATTTCTCTTCCCTGTAGAAATCAATCAAACACATTAATCGACTCTGACGTTATTTTTAAACTTGCTATGCTTAATGTCAGATCTCTATGTAACAAATCATTTTTAATAAATAATTTTATCACTTCTTATGATCTTGATTTTATGCTTATGGCTGAAACATGGCTGGACCAAAATACAGGAAATGCAGTTCTAATAGAAGCAACACCACCCAATTTTAAATTCAAATCCGAAATACGAGAATACAAAAGGGGGGGAGGCATAGCTGCAGTTTTTAGAGAGCACTTTGTCTCCCATAGAATGCCCCTTGGAAATTTTTCATCGTTTGAGTATATTTCTTTTAAAATGGAACAAAAGCAATCTTCTACTCTTTTCATTGTCCTGTACAGGCCACCACAGTCATGTTGCGATTTTATTGACCATTTTACTGAACTACTTTCATTCGTGTGCACAGATTTTGATAGTTTAGTTATTACAGGTGATTTTAATGTACATGTTGATAATGTTGATGACAGAAATGCAAAGGAGCTGGCTTCTGTATTTGAGACCTTTGGTTTCATTCAGCACGTGAGTGGCCCCACCCACAGCAGGGGGCACACTCTTGACCTGCTAATTACAAAGGGGGTTAATGTATCAAATGTTAATGTAGTTGATGTTGCTTTGTCAGATAATTTCTGTGTATTTTTTGACATGTGTTTTGCTAGCAAACCACCAGCTGAATTTACAATTGTCAGAAGAAGACACATACATGAAAACACAAGTGAACTGTTCATGGGAATGCTAAATTTTGAGAAAACTCCATGCTCTACTGTTGATGAATTGTATAACTCTGTCACCACCAGTGTTCTGACTGTTCTGGACGCCATTGCTCCTGTGACGGTTAAAATAGTTACCAGTAATAAAAAGGCCCCATGGACTAAGGCAGACTCGGTCAGGGCACAGAAGCAAGAGTGCCGGAGGGCCGAACGGAAGTGGCGAAAGTCCAATTTCCAGGGCGATTATGAAATCTTTAAAGATGAGTTGGGTGAATTTAACCGGGTTCTACGTAGAACAAGAGAAATGTATTTTTCTGACATTATTGGAGGTTGCAGTAACAATTTTCGTGTTATGTTTTCAACAGTTGGTAGATTAACGAACCCCCCTGTAAAGTTGCCCCTAGAATTTTCCTCTAAATCTAGGTGTAATGAGTTCGCACAGTTTTTCGATGACAAAGTACAAGGAATCAAAAACACTATCACCTCCACAGCACGTATAACAATGCAACAGCCAGAGAAGCTTTTTGAGCTAACTCACTTTGCACCTGTGGATACTGAAACTGTCAAAAAGATCTGAGCTCCTCCACATGTAGCCTGGATATATTGCCCTCTAAATTTCTGAAGTCCGTCCTGAGCAGTTTGTTACCTTCACTGACACAAATAGTAAACATGTCTCTGTCGTCAGGAACATTTCCTATGGCCTTAAAAACAGCAGTCATAAGACCTCTCCTAAAAAAGAGCAGTCTGGATCCTGCGAGACTTCAAAATTATCGCCCCATATCGAATCTGCCATTCATTGGAAAAATTCTTGAAAAAGTGGCCTCCCAACAACTTACTGAATTTTTAACAATGAATAATTCTTTTGATATGTTCCAGTCTGGGTTTAGACCCCACCACAGCACTGAGACCGCTCTAGTGAAGGTAACAAACGACATTCGACTTCACACTGATGCAGGTAAAGTCACAGTTTTGGTCATGTTAGATCTTAGTGCCGCGTTCGACACTGTCGACCATGAGATCCTCATGCAGAGACTGGAGGACTGGGTTGGTGTCACTGGCACAGCCCTAGACTGGTTTAGGTCTTACCTGAAGGATAGGAAGTACTTTGTGGAGATTGGAGACTGCGTCTCAGATCATGTGGCCCTGACCTGTGGAGTACCACAGGGGTCGATCCTGGGACCTCTCCTATTTAATCTCTACATGCTGCCGTTAGGTCAGTTAATACAAAGAAACAAAGTGTCCTACCACAATTACGCCGACGACACTCAGATCTATGTCTCACTGACTGCAGGAGAACATGGACCACTGGATTTGCTCCTTCACTGTATCCAACAGATCAGTGACTGGATGCAAAATAATTTCCTCCAACTAAATGCAGACAAAACCGAAATCATTGTCTTTGGTCCCCAGAAACAAAGAGAGGGCGTCATTTGTCAACTTCAGTCTCTCTCCCTACTTCCTTCAGACAAGGTCAGAAATTTGGGGGTAATACTGGACTCAGACCTAAATTTCAATAGCCACATAAAATCAATAACATCAACAGCTTTTTACCATCTGAAGAACATTGCCAAAGTTAGAAATATAGTGTCCAGGGCAGACTTGGAGATTCTTGTCCATGCATTTGTCTCCAGCAGGCTAGACTACTGCAATGGCCTGCTTACAGGTCTGTCCAAACAGACCTGTAAGCAGCTGCAGTACATCCAAAATGCAGCAGCTAGAGTCCTGACAGGAACCAGGAAGTATGACCATATTAGTCCGGTCCTCAGGTCTCTGCACTGGCTTCCTGTGGCTCAAAGAATAGATTTTAAAACAGCTCTGCTTGTGTACAAGTCTCTCCATGGCCTTGCACCAAAATACATTAGTGACATGTTGGTGTCATATGAACCAGCCCGGACTCTGAGGAGCACAGGGACTGGCCTCCTGCTGGTGCCCAGAGTGAGAACCAAACATGGGGAGGCTGCGTTTCAGATCCATGCAGCTAAGATCTGGAACAATCTCCCTGAAAATGTGAGGGAGGCGTCTACTCTGTCAATGTTCAAATCCAGGTTAAAGACTGTTCTGTTTGCCTGTGCATACAACTGAAGGATTTTATCTCCATTTCTAATGCACTGCTGTCATTTATTTATTTATTTTTTTAAATTTCTTGTGTAATTTTGAAAGTTTTAATTGTGTTTAATCTTTTGTGTGATTTTAATGTTTTAATTGTGATTCTGGTGTTTGTTTTATGTGATGATTTGTGATGTGGACTGTGAAGCGCTTTGTGTTGCCCTGTGTATGAAAGGCGCTCTACAAATAAACTTTGATTGATTGATTGATTGTTATTGGTGGATAAGATGTGGGCGTTTTGCTGGTGTAATGAGTAGAGGATGAGCAGGCTTGTAGATCTGGCGGCAGCGGCCGGGTCTACCACAGTGAATTTTTGCGAAGAGCTCCATTTCACTTTGGAGAGACCCAAGAGGGAAAATGCAGTTAGAAGTTTTTTGACTGAGTATGTTTGGCGCCCTAGGCCCGGGAGAGATGCTGTTGAGTGCGGCGCTTGCTCGCGCGCATCTGTCCAGTGTCATAGGGCTTCACTAGTCTATGCCGGGAAACTATTCCGGTCTCTGAAAATAGTATGTTTATGCAGGAGGTACCTATCAACCCAACGAAAATGCCCTTTCACCTCTAGGACTCAATTTCCTTTTGGTTATGCTTGTAAACATAGCACTCTGTACCAAATATCAGCAATGGGAAATATTGGATTTTCCCTGTGAAAACATTCCTATGGAGTATTTTGCCTAGTCGCCTACCAAAGCACCTGTTAACGATATGTGCCAAGCTGTCTGCCTCTTCATATCCCCATAGAGTTTTTTGGTAATTTACTTTCAGTAACATGCACCGTCTCATGTCCAGTAACGTCCTCCACTTTTGGTTCTGCTGTACCGTTTTGAATGAGGTGAATAAGGCACCTAGTCTTGATGGCTGATCCTATTTTTCATGAGAATATCCTGGGAACTCCTCTACCGTGTACTCCGTCCCATGTCGATCTAATAGTCTTCACATGGCCATAAGGAGCTGTGTCAGCTACGAATTTTTATGTTGCTCTGGTAGTGTAATTATTTTTGCCTGATGAAATGAGGGCCCAGGTCATGCCACTGTAGTCGCCGTGTGAAGGCGAGGGTGTACCTATACCCACCCTACCTTAGGCTCCAAAGGACCACATAGGTCAGTATGCACCATTGTAATATTTGTTTAGCTCTGCTATCAGCCAAGTCTATTTCTCTTATCTACGAACTTCCCTTCTATAACAGACTCACAGGCCCTGAAGGCAGATTTGATACAGTCCCCTTTAAGTTTCATCCCTCAACCACACTCACCAATCTGGAAACATCCTCAAATTTTACAGTGTCCAAGTATTCTGTAGCCACCGTTGTATATGGACCTCACTTAACATTCAATGTCTGCATCAAATAATGTGGGGCAGATAATACAGTTTTACTGTGGGTCTCAATGTTAAATCGGGTCAATCCGTACACCCCACCCATTATCACCCTCTCAGTAATGCAATTCCCGCCCCTGGTCTGTGGCTGCCTTCACTGAGAAAATTTCTGGTGGAAAAGTAGGTATATACACGGGCTTTTCTTCCAGTTGTGCTGTCATTTATTCCATGGCTATCTACCAGAGAGACCTCTGCATCCCCGGCGCCTGCCACTCCGGTGATCTGGTACCGTCATCTAGTTCAATCACATGGTTTACAGCTTAAAGTCTTTATCAATGTTCTTCAACTTTTTAAAGTCATTTATCATATGCGCTGTAGCACCACAATCCTAGCAAACCTTTAACATCGACGTCCCCTTTGAACTCCTGTGGTCACTCCATTTAAACAATACGACTTGTGGTCTTCATAGTAGTCCTCGGCTCCATCATCTGCTGCTTCTCTGTAGCGCTCCAGGGCAGGGTCCTTCCTTGGGTCCTGGGCGCTCCTGTCGGGTCGAGCCCAGCGCTCCCAGCGTTCTGTGGCTCCCTCGTTTCTGCTCTCCGCCGTTGCTGCTGCCATGGAGGCCCGCTGTCCCCCTTCGCGGGTGCGTCGCTCCTGCGGTCCCGTCGCCTCTACTCATACCGCTGGGACAATTCCTGCCACATTTCCCATTTTACGGCATCTGAAGCACTCGATCCTCGGCCGAATCCTTCTCCGCTCCTCTGCCACGCCTTGTGGCCCGTAGGTGGCTGCCCCCCTGCTGCTCTCAATCACATTGTCTTCTGTGATATCGCTTGTCTGTTCTCAGCAAATTTCTCAGCTTTGTCTTAAAGTCACTGAACTTAGGGCTTCGCTCATCTGTGTGATGTTCCACCACAAAACGGCTTAAATGAGTTGGGCAGACTTTCCCCACCATTGCAACTTGCAGAACCATCACTAATGTTCTCTTCTGCCCTCGACAACGCTGCAAATATTGTCTCGGCTCGAACAATGAATCTGTGACAGTCCTCGTTGCTTTGCATGTGGAGGCCGACAGCCGTGCAGTATAAACTCACTATACGCGGCTTTTCCTTTGCTGCATAATGATGCGAAGTATCTCAACGCCTTGCGCCCGTCTACGTCCGCCTCTCTCATAATCAGCGACAGACTTTCATTGTCCAAAACCTGGACCAACTCCGCATACTCCTGTCCATTCCTCCCAGCGTCTGCAACTCGTGCTCCTCAACGCCCTCTGCTGCCCCCTCGAACACCGGCTCAGTCTTCAGTGGTCCCCGCAAGCCCACGCAACTCTCAAATGCGCGAGGAATCCGTCTCCAGAAAGTTCATAGTTCCTCTCATCACCATCGACAGCAGCGCGGCTGAAACGTTGCCAGACAGCGGCTGGGCCCATAACCTGTGTGATTTCCATCATAGACGCGAGCAGACCAGTATTCCAGTTGAGGAATTCAATCACCATATTAAAGCCAAAACAGTGAATTTATTGACGTCAGTAGGGACCCACATTGCCCTAATTGCAGGCTGAACCATCACGCTCAACAGTGCCTGTCCTAATAAATAAATCATAATAAATGGAGACTGCATTTCCCAATCAAGCTCAGGTGCAAAAAATATAATTAAATTCTTATTTTCCCCCATAGGGGGTCATTCTAAATTTTAGTGTTGTCAAATTCAAAAGGAGAATAATAGCGCATTATAATGCACACATCAAACAATCTAACTCTTTAAGATAATAATCATATAATAATTATAGAATCGAATGAAATATCTGAGCCTATAAGTCATTGGATTCAAGAGCTGTAGGTACTAATATAACAGTAAGCTATAAATTTAGTAGTGTGGAGGCGGCTAGTCTCCGATCAGAAACCGCCGTTCCCACCAATGGATCTGTCTTATTATTTGGGCACCAGTAGACGTTGAAGGGTCTACGACAGACCAGGGTATTTTGCCTCGAACAGTATCACAAATCTTGATGGTTTGAGTACGAAAATCGGCCAGGGATATACCGAAATCTAACAACACGACTCTGATAGGGTTGAGTTAAAGAAAAGGGGTTTTTAATTGATTACAAAAAGAAAGGTAAAAATCTAAACGAAAAGGGATTTCTGGTCACATTTAAGCAGGAGTTGTACAAATCTCATTTGAAACACGCCACTAACAAAAGGAACAGTCTTACTTTTGAGGAGCGTAGAGGAGATGTGTGATTGAAAAGAGGAGGATGGAGATGGAGATGGGAGGATGAAGGATGAAGAATAGGATGGAGGCATGTCCCATCCACGTGGTCTTTGTTCGAACAGGGAGCAGGAGGGACCGGCAGATCGGGTCCAGGCGTGGGTTCCACACACGACACGTCTAGAATAGCGTTGCGGAGGGGTGTTCCAGGAGCCCGAAAGTGGCTGGCGATGAAAGGTCCTCGTCCTCCGACAGCGATAGTGATTGCTGTCCTCGTGATGTACAGGCCCGAGAAGGGGGTGGCCCGGGGGCGTAGGACCGTAATAGGAGACACGTACATACGCATTGTTGTTATGATGAATTCGGGAGAACCAGAGCAGTACTATGGCCTTGTGGGTGCTTATATTGACTTCCCAGGAGGCGTGTCCATGCGTCCCTCTCTGTGGACAAACCCTTCACAACCACATCGCAAAGGAAACCACACAGGATAGTGTCAAAATGATCATAACACATGGACAAACACAGAAAAATATTGGGGGGTAACACAGCATTTCATTACTTTGGCATTGATACACACATTGGGGCACAATGCAGATTAATTGGAGTACTGACCCCAGGGGTGCTGGTTCGCAATTGTCCGTCCCGGGTGTGATACGTCCATTTGTTCACAAGGGGGCGTCAGACGCCGCGGGGGAGTCTTTGATTGTCCGGGTGGCTAGGAGTCCTGGGAGCGAGAGTCAGGGTTTTGATCTTTGATTCTCTAGGTAAGACAGAGTAAGTAAGTTTGGCATCTTTATTTATATACCGCCTTTCGCCAGACTGCAGTGGGGAAGTCTTCCTCCCTTTTGGTCGAAGTACACAAAGCGGTTTTACTTATTTAATTGTTTTTTATAGGTTAAAGTTTTGGTGCAGAATAAACAATAGTAATAGTTGTCTTTATTTATATACTCACATTCACACAGAGATGCGGAGCAATTGTTATTTTTTGGGGTCCTCTCACTCCACACAGAAATGGGACGGGGTCGCCGAACAGAGGCGCATGCCAGACCTATTGTACATATTTTTAGTGGTAAGGGGAAACCAGAGTACCCGATGGAAACCTACGCAGAATAGTAATAATAGTTAGACTAGTGAATAATCAAAATAGTTCTATTGTGAAAATAAGTATCAATAATGTCAAATTGTTCTAATAACTAAAGTAAAAAGGAATCAAATGGAGTCAGATTTTAGATGCTTCTGTTTTCCACATCTGTAGGATCTAGTGCAGATGTGTTTATAGAGAGTAGTATTAAAATGCAGACATAGAACAACAGGCTTTAACAATTTTTTAAATCTAAAAATAGCTCAAATATAACATTGCTCGTGACGCAGCCTCTGAGCTGCTCCATTGGAGAACAGGTCAAATGTTATTGTTTATTACAAACAGCTGATGTATTTACACATATTAAGTTTTGGAAAACACTTTAAACAGTTATAAGCAGCGGACAGAAGCCATGAATGTGCTTTTGTTTATTAAATAATTAATTTAATAGCCATATAATTGTAGATAACGTTTTTTAATTAGTTCTCTTCTTCCCGCTCCCTTTCAGGCAACTTCATTTAGATTTATGTCTTTTATATTTGAAAACTACTGTGTTGTTTTTGGAATTGTCTGAAATACAATACATAAAATAGTGATTTGCAGAACGAGAACCAGCCAATGAAAAATCATCTATTGCCGATGCTATTGCTACAATTAGAACCAACAGAGATTCAAAAACATTTAAAAGCATTTTGATGTATTTGGGTATAGCACAAAAGTAGATATTTAGATATTTTTGAGAATTTTAAAAGCTGTCGATTTGTCAGCACAGATTAGAGAATGTGGAATAAACATGGAGCAAAATCCCACTGGCACAAAGCCACTGATAATGAAAGCAAACCACAGTATAGAGGGATTTATTAGATAAAAACATATGTTTAAGAATATGGCTCAGTAAAAGCAAATATGCAAACATATTTGTAAATAGATTAGAATAGTTTTAAACTAATAGTGAATAGTTTTAGTGCATACATTACAGACGAGGTTGATGAAGAATCAGTAATGTGATTTGTAAAGGAATGTTTCAAATGTGGTTGTTAGTTGTGTTTTCTCTGAATTAACGTCTTCACAGGAATACTGCCTGAACTAAAGAAGCATGGATGCTGTCACTCATGATGTCACGGATGGATGAGAACGTGGATGTGACCTATTTATGATAGGTCAAAAAATGGGAGTGTTGTAGAATTATAATGTTGTATACTAATGATTTCCAGTAGGTGTTTGCAAACATGTCTTTGTGCAATATTAACTTAAGGATCACCTAATTTCGCCTGTTCCTTTTCGAATTATGATACCCAAATGGAAATGCTTGTTGTGTGGACATCTTGTGTCTGATGTTGTGTTATGATGCCTCATTTGAAAGGTAACACCTTCTAGTTTCTGGAAATGTATGTTACAGTTTGTTAGGAAGGACACAGTCTGCACTGCAGCTTCTCAAACATGAGTCAAAGTTAGTTTTTTTGTCTCAAAAAAAAAAGAAGGCAATTTCAAAAGGTTCTCCTGATGACATACTTTATGGTATGTTGTTCAAACTCACCAGAGCAGACTTTTGTGGTGTTGGCAACACCTGTATGAAATTTTAGACCTTTAGGTGGAACTATTTTGATGCTGGGGGCTTTTTTGTAACTAATGGGCACATTCGGCACAAGTGGTCCATTTTTGTGCCAACTGTGCCAAAGTGTTTAACATGCAAATTATCAATGTTTTTACACCAAAAATCAAATTATATCATTTTTTGGCTATTACTCTTGCTATAAATAGCATTTTTTCCAGATATTGAAATGTTTGCAGAAAAGCTATTATTTATATAGTTATAGCGCGTGTTCTCTGTGAAAGAGGCTCCGTCTTCCTCTTTACGCATTCAAATATGACGGGAACAGTGGGAGGAAGCTAGAAGTCCGACACATCGCCTGAAACCTGAGATTATTGGCTGCAAGATGATTTGATTGACATCCAAATCGGCCAATGTTAGTCAAGACAATGCTGTCGTGACGCACAGATATCTATATGACTGGAGCGCTAAAGCTAGGTGCGCTTGTTTTACTCAACTTACTCTACCTTCCAAACCATAGCACTGAAAAGTCCGGGAATGGGCTTGTTTTGAAGGGGAGGCTTAGGGGAAGACGAACATACCCAGTGACGCTAGATAAATAGTAAAATGTCCTCTTCATACAGTGCGCAAAGAATAGGTTTTGTTTTTGTTTGTGCAACTTTCAATACTCAAATATGTTGTTACAAGTGGATATCTACTATAAGGATGACTTTGTAGAAAAAACAACTGGATATAATTATTCTCTAGACCCAAACGAACAAAATGAATGCACACATG